CCCTAAACCCGAAACGTTAAACCCTTAACCCTAAACCCCAGGAGACAACTGGAGCGCTTCTTTGCGGGGCCGGGTTCGGAAAGTGCGGCTCGTGCTGTCCAACCTACTGTGCCACAACGAAGATACAGCAGCCACGCATCCGCGCTTCGTTGCTGGGTTGCCGTTAAGGAACTTAAATTAAGGGTTTAGGGTTTAGGGTTTAGGGATATTATCCTCCTATAATGGAGAATCAAATGGAAAAGAAATGGAAAATGAAATGGACAGTGGGGGAATATATGGGGATTTAAGGAACTTAAATTAAGCTACTATATTTGGGAAACCCTCTTATTTACTATCTATACCCATTATGGTAACTTAATTTAAGTTCCTTAACAGCAACCCAGGTTGTCCGGAATACGATCTCAATTTGTCTTGCCTTTGCTTTGGGTTGGCTCGGTCTCTGGAACGTAATGCCTTCATACTCGGCCTACCCAGCCTCTACCATCGCTGTCATTGTGCAACTTGGCGGTCAAGAATGATATCCCTAGTAAGGCATCTACTCTCTTTATATATGCATATGTATGTAGATGCCGCCGCATGTCTGGGTGGATATTCTTCTCATCTGCAGAGAGAGAGAGTATAGCAGGGCCCTACTCAGCTTACGCATCAGTAGCCTAAACCCTAAACCCTACACATTAGCATGTCATGGACACCAGACGCTTCGCAGGAGGCATCCTAGGAAAGTTATTCATACCTATAGTCTTGGGTTTAATTTAGGGTTCAGGGTTCCCGTATTAGTATACTTATAGAAAACATTTCTTTTCGTAACATATCTACCCAGGCATGAGGGACCTATGATATTGACACCTGTTTCTTGTGGCTAGGGGCTGGAGAGCTCCAACTCAACTTCCCCCGTAAGCCTAGACCCTAAACCCTAAACCCTGCCCCTTGCAGAAGGGAAAACCTCTCCCCCAGGTACACCTACACGGGGGCCACGCCCTCCGTTACTCTAAGGCGGCTTTCTGGGGTGGTCCTGGGCAAAGCAGCGGCTGGGTTGCTATTCAGGAATATATTAGGGATATATTGGGATAAAGGAAAAGAAAATGGAAACTACAGGGATTATAGGGGGTGTATAGGGGCTATATAGGGTATATAGTGGGATATATTGGGATGATGGAAAAGAAAATGGAAACTACTATTTAGGGTTTAGGGTGTAGGGGCCCCTTAGGCAGATAGAATATGGGGTAAGGAACTTACGCTCAGTTACCTTGACCAGGGAACCGCAATTTCTCAGCATATTCAACCCTAAACCCTAAACCCTAAATCCATCATATGGAGCTTAAGAAATCGGTCTGCTAAATAAGCGCTTGAAGCACCCTTCTATGGACCCGAAAATTCCGTACAAGGGACCTGAAACCTTGAACCCCAAACCCGATACCCCACGCCCTGAAGTTTTATTTAAACTATAGCAGTTTTCTTTTCCATTATCACCTATATGATCCGAATATACCCCACACCCTAAAGGCTTTTTAAATTCTTTAACCCTAAATCCTAAACCCCCAACCCAGGCCGGGTCGATCCTCCAGCTTTGTCTGGCAGACACTTGGCACAGTTTGGGGTTTAGGGTTTGGGGGGTTAGGTATTTTGGGGCTTTTAGTTGGTGTGCATGTTTAGCTGGCTTTATAGGGCTTATGTTAGATTATTGGGGGGCTGCGTAGGGCTCATATTGGGTTTATACTGGGTTCATCTGCCTATTGCAGAGGGCTTAAAGGCTTAGGCACACTGAGAATGGCTTAGTCTTATTTAAGATTTAGGCTTTGTTTTCCGGCTGACTTGGGTGATGAGGGCTCTTTAGGATCTAGCACATTGCAGGATTTCTTTGACTTTGGATTGAAGCAGGACTGTTGTAACCAACAAGACGGAAAGAGAGTACAGCGCTGCTATCGGTTTTAAAAGCAATTGAAGTAGACCTTCGTGCTCGGGTCTAGCGTTGCTGCCTATGAGTGAATTGCATAGCGCATCCGACGCAGATGGGAGCACTGCTGTCGGCCCAGGAACGAAAGCTCAGTTGGTCCCCCCGACCCACTAGTAGTGCTGTAGCATTTTTTTCGGAGCCTGACATTTTCCAATTCACTGCAGTTGCTAAACTTTTTACGAGCGCGGGCATATCACCTTATCGAAGGCCTCTTCTTGCAAGGACCCTGGGCATGGACCCAAAGACCTTTGAACGTGTGTCCGGCGTCCAGCGTCCCATGTCATGTCAGTCTGGCAGTTACATATATAGCCCTGTAAGAGTTGTAGAGACTTAAGACCGGCCAGGATCCTTGAAACACCTTTGCATGTTGGAAATCCAACTCACTATTCATGTGGTGTGCTCTGCAGAAAATGACGCATACGTCCGAACTCGAAACACCAAGCCCGCAAGCGTTCTGCCACCTCAGGTCAAGAATGTCTTCTACGTGATAGTCTTTGCCTCTTCTATGTGGTTGATCGTTGGCTTGACCTTCTTTCAGTACATCCATGCGCAGGGGGCTGTTGACTTTGCATATGTTTGTGGGCTCACGGCGGCGTATGCAGCGTCAAGCATGATACCCACCAATGGGGTACTGCGCCGAATAGATGAAAGAACCACGGATACCGTTCTTCCGACCTTGATGTTCCTTGGCTACTTAGGAGCCAGGGGCCGGGGGGGAACTGGTTGAGCTCGAAAAGCATTAACGTGGATGATGCTTTTGGTTGGTATCACATGTTGGGGTCGCAACCTGGAGATTTGCAAGGTCAGACGGGTTTACGTCCCGGTGCTTGGTCTTTCCCAACTGAGGAACACGATCCTACAGACGATCATCGGAATCGGGCCCGGCGGGTACAAATTCAAGGGTGAACTCCGTCATGCATCCGTAGATCCCCAAAGCCTTCCCTGTGTCCTCATTCGGAGATATTATGTTTTGGGCTGGATTGATGCCGGGCAGGATCATGCTGGTGGTGGACTTCTTGCTTGCGTCGCGTGCCTCCAATCAGGCAGACACCATGGGCTTTAATACTTGTGTCATTCGGATACCATCCAGGCTGAGTGGCATAGGCAGCAGGGAGCGGAGTGCCACAAGACCGAAGACTTCTGGAATCATAGTTATGCCTATACTACTCTTGACCTTTGTACAAGCCGTATATTTGTGCTTACGCGTATGTGTCTTGTCACAGCCCTGGTAGCGGCTTCCGCAACACCTGTTTGCGTCCCGGAGTGCGCAGCTTTGCCAGTTAGAGTTTTGCTTATGCCTATGCTACTACTGCCGTTTTTTTTGGTTTCCTTCCCATAGCCAGGCACAACACAAGATCCTGTCAGTCATGTCTAGAACAACTTTGTTTCTATATTGCTACCCCACAATCGCCGCCATGACCGCCGCACCACAACCACCGGAGCACCCGCATCACCGCCACTGCCACCGCCGCCAACACACGTCTGACGACCACTGCCACTGCTACCAGCGCCGCCGCCACTGCCACCACCACTACGCCCACCATGCTACCTCTTGCTAGAACTGGAACTGCTACCTCCACCGCTGCCACCATTCCTACTCCTTCTCATCCTGCACCAGGCGCGCCAACGGCTCCTGCGGGCCTTCGCGCGGCTCATTCGGGGTGTGCGAGCCTGCAAAGATCAGGGAGCCTCCCCGGAGGACCCCGTTTGTAGTCGTAATCGTCGGTCGTAGTCGCAGTGTAGCAGGGGCGGCAGCAGCCTCTGCTGCTGCTTATTGCTACTATTGTTGCCACGGCTGCTGCTGCTACTGCTGCTTATGGAGAGATGGGTATAATTTGATCAGACTGCTTCTTGCCCGGGTCAAAACCAAACTTAGGTCAGCATTGGATTTAGCTTGTGGATTGTCATTTCATTTAAAACCCACCCAAAGAACATACAACTCTAATTTCTTAATGACGCCCAATATGGAACCATAAATCCTGAACCTTATACAGGTCCCAACAAGGACATAACAACTGAATGTCTCAATAAGGATTATACCCTATTATAATATAGCAGCTTCCATTTTCTTTTCCATTACCCCAATACCCAAATGGGTATATATATATATATGTATACACCCCAATATACCCCGAAACTTAAACCCTAAACCCAAAACCTAGAACTCTTGCACCCGAAGATTCATCCCCTGGAGGCCCAGACAGTGGAGACGTTGGCGCAGGAGCACAAGGAGGTCGCCTCACGCGAGACAAAATTGGTGACTAGTAGGAGATGGGTAGTTGTCAAAATTATGGTCCCTTTTTGGGAACCCTAAATATTAGGTGCTGTATTATAATAAGGATCCAAAACAGGACCATAATTTTGACAACCACCCAGATGAAGGATAGAAAGAGCAGGGAAACTACCATATGAGGCAAAGTCTAAGCTCCTAGGATGCCCCTAATGATATCCCCTATAGTAGTCCATTAAATATATAATCCCTTAGATCTCAGGTCGTTTGGATATGTAAGGTTTACGACAAGATTTTAGGGTTTTGGGCAGGTGGTGGGCCCAAAAAGAAGCAGAGGGTCAAGTCTAGGAAGTGATCTGGTAGTTTCCTGAAATAGGGTGGCCCCAATATAGACCCCAAACGATTGAATCCTTATTACAGGGATCCCAAAAAAGGTGCCCCTAGTTTAATTTTTGGAAACCCCCATGTAGGGGACTACTATAGGGGGTATTGAGGGGGCTACTAGGAGTTTAGACCCTAAACCCTAAACCCTATATTGCTGTCGTGCCTGCTTTGTGCGATGCGTGTGTCTAAACCCTATATTATAGGGGTTATTGAGGGGGATACGAGGAATTTAGACTATAGCTTAAATGGTACCAGCTGATCACAGGGGAAGATTTACCATCGCTGGGCTTTTGAAAGCGACCTCACCTGACCTCCCCCTAAATGGTTGTTTATATATGGAATAGTGCCATAATGTCCTCTAATTAAAAGCGACCTCACCCTGAATGGTGGCTTTTGTAGGGAAGAGCACCAAGAGGACCTTAAATTGGGACTTGAAGTTATTTTAAGTTACCTAAACCCTTAACCCTAAATAGTAGCTTGCATTTTCTTTTCCATTATCTTTATATAACCCATATATAGTAACCTCATTGGGAATTGAAATTGCCCTAAATTACCATGCTATCGGAGGGGATGGACGGTTTTCTGAGTACTGGGAGGGCTTAATTTCTTTGGAGGCCCAAACCCTAAATCCTGCACCGCTGACTGGTTCCTAGATCCTATGAACCCTGGGTTCTACCAAGCAAAATCAACAAGACTTTCATGCTACACCCTAATTTAGATCCTACCCCCAACCCTAAACCCTAAACCTTGAATCCTACACCCCAAATCCCTCACACCAAGTCCTTGGCCATAAGTCCTACAACGGTTTGGGATTTAGGGTTTGGGGCTAAACACTAAGCTGTCCCCTAAACCCTAAACCCTAAAAGGCGGTNNGGTGGCCGGCTTCTTGAAAGATCTCGACTCCTTGAAAGAACTGCTTCCATACGCCGCTGCAGAGCCTACCTACTGGTCCCTGGGTACTATGGGTTTATAGGGTATAGGGGGTATAGGGTTTAGGG